CTACGCCTATATGAAGTCATGGGCGGGCTTGTTGCGCATCCTTGGCTGCGCCGAGCTCCTCTTGGGTGCTGCTGTCTTCGCGTGCGTCTGCGCCTACGTGCACAAGGATAACGAGTGGTATAACTTATTCGGCTACAATCAGCAGACCGGCATCGCAGGTAGTTATGGAGGATCCATGGGGTCGATGTACGGCAATTACGGAGCCAACTACACGGGACCCAAAACACCTTTCATCCTGGTGGTGGCCGGATTGGCCTGGATTGTCACGGTCATCCTGCTTGTGCTGGGGATGACCATGTACTACCGCACCATCTTACTGGACTCCAGCTGGTGGCCAGTGACGGAGTGTATAATAAACGCAGCACTGGGAGTGTTATATTTGTCGGCAGCTATAGTGTACGTGAATGACACGGTACGCGGTGGCCTCTGCTACTCCCCGTTTTTCAACAACGGCCCCAGTGCTGCCTTTTGTCGCACTGAAGCTGGACAAACAGCTGCCACCATCTTCCTTTTCGTCACCATGCTGCTGTACCTGATAGGGGCTGGAGTGTGTCTCAAACTGTGGAGGCACGAAAGGGCAAGACTTCGTCGCGAGGCCCTGGCACAAGAGGTAAGCCATGTGGGGAAACACCTTGACATAAAGAGAGGATATTTAGGAACCACACTCCGGCTCGCCATGTACAATTCTTGCAACAAAACCACCGTTGTTGTTTTTTTTAATTTTTTTTTATATAAAACATTGGTGTGTCCCATATAGAACCCAGGGAAATTGACCCAGTTGTGTCAAATTCTCAAGCACTGTTCAGGTGATGAATAAATGTAGGAAGTCATCTGACATTTTCATGATTTTTATCTCCTTCTGTTTAGATGAATCCTGTCACATCATTACCGATGACCCTGGTAACTACTTTCATGACCTAAACGTTGTCTGGATTCACGTTTGCAATTGAAACAGCTGGTCTGAATGGCACTAATCGACTTTATCCCTAGATTGGACCCGGATCCAGTGTATCGGGACCAATCTATAAACCTCAGATGATGGCTTCCCCTGACAGTGTGGATGATACTACACCTGTTCCACAGGCTATGATGCAGCCGGAGTACCTGAGGGGTCACATACCGGCAGGACATATCCCCAAACCGGTGGTCATTGCAGATTATGTTGCGTGAGTTCACTTGTAGAACCTAAATACCATATGGACAAATTATTTGTAGATGGATGAATGGATAGATATATATGGATGGATGTATTGATGATGGATGGATGTACTGATTATTGATGAATGTATGGGTGGACATATTGATGGATATATTCATGATGTATGTATGTATTGATTATTGATGAATGTATGGATGGATGAAAGTACTGATGAAGGATGGATAGATAAAGTTCCGCTCTGCGAGAAAAGATGGTACTTAATACTATGGATGTGATTTTTCCTGCAGGAAATACCCCACCATTCGCACCGATGAGGAGAAGGACCGGTACAAGGCTGTGTTTAACGATCAATACGCCGAGTATAAGGAGATCCACGCTGAGGTTCAGGTTCTGGCCAAGAAGTTTGAGGACATGGACAATCTGATTAAGAACCTGCCGTCTCATCCGTCCAGTCAAATGGTAATGTCGTCGAATCAACTTGGGTGGTTGGGTGGGTTTGGGAGGGGGGACATAACCTCAGATCCTAACACACTGATTAGTGCTTGGATTGACTTGTGACATCCTGGAGCGAAACATTCTTTTAAATTGATGGTTATTAGTTTAAACTCAAGTCTACGATACCCTTTTCCTGTTCTGGTCATGCCATGGTTAGATTATTTACCTCAAACAAGAATTTAAACAGTGACCGATTAAACAACCCATTAAACAGTGCACCTTATGCTGGATTCTGTTGAATTCTGATTGGTCAGAATGTGTTTGTTAATTTTCTGTAACAGCAGTTCTGACCCCTGATCTGATCTGAGCTCTGCCACAGGTTGTGAATCTTCATAATCTCAAAAGCATTCAAACTGGACTCAGGTCATCGAGCGTCGTTCTAAATATGGGCCACTGTTTTTCGTAAACAACAAGCACTTCCTTGATCTGCATGAGAGATTTAAAAAAAAAAAAAAACATTTTTAAAGAGCGCCGGTCAGCTGGTCGTCTGTGTGATTCATTTAGTGACCTTTCTTTCAATTCCTACAGGAACAAGAGCGGATCGGCCAACTCATGCAGGAGTACCAGAGGAAAAAGAACGTAAGTGCGGCTTCGGTCTTCCTCATTTTAACTGTTCGATGTTACGGAACGTATTCAAAGTGGTTCGTGTCCAGATACCGCTGTGACTGTTATGGGTAACGTAATCTTTTCAATTCTTTAGGAGAAATGTAAGCTTTAGGCTATTGAGTTCTCCCTACTTTAGCTAATGGCTTTTGTTATGCTTTATACTATGGGCTCTGCCTGATTATTAACACTTGTATTCAGTCCGATTTTGGGTCAGATTACAGTCAGGATAAAAAAATTATAATTATCCTGTGTTCTGGAGAACCGGCGCCAAGTATCGGGAACTCTCGTGTTTTATAGTAATCCGAAATTTGACTAATTTTTCCACACAAAACATTTTCCTGTAACAATTTCTCTAGATATGTGTTACTCATTTTACCTGTGTGTGTGTGTGTGTGTGTGTGTGTGTGTCTGCTCTTACAGGACCCGACTTTCCTTGAAAAGAAGGAGCGATGCGAGTACCTGAAGAACAAACTCTCGCACATCAAGCAGAAGATCCAGGAATACGACAAAGTGATGGACTGGAACGACGGCTACAGTTAAAATCTGCTGTCTGACATCATCACTAAGCCAGAGTGCTGACAGCGTTAAAGTGTGTGTGTGTGTGTGTGTGTGGTGCGCGAGATACGGTACACTGTGGCACGAATCCAGGGTTAAGTCTGATATCTGACGCATCACTTCCCTGTAAAATAAACACTAGTGCTGCGTGTGTGACGTTGTATACAGTGGAGTAAAGATTTATGAAGAGATGGATGGAAAGCTTCTTTTTTTTTATTAGTTTGAAGGAGAAAAAACAACTCTAGTTATTTAAATTCTAAATCATCTTTTAGTATATGCAACTAGACATGTGCCAAAAAGCCCGGTGTCGTCGTTCTGTCTACGTAGGCAGCCTCCTGGAGGGGAACAGGATATCTGAGCGTGTCCACAGGAACAACATTCCTGCTAGTCCACACAAGCTGAATAAACACGTCAACTAGCGCCACTTACAGGAAGGAATTTTAAGCTTTCAATACATGGAAAGATGTGATATATTTGTACTTTTATTTTCTTTTTAATTTGTTCATTTGATTTTTTTTTTCATGTGATCCCGACCTGCCAGAAAATTAACAACTTTTATATTAACTTTATACTTTGAGAAGGGAAAAAAAGATTCTCTAAAGTGTATCGTTGGGGTGATGGGCGTGGCTTTGTGTCAGAACTTTTCTCACATCTTTATTTATACAAAGTAAATCGAAATCACGTCGCCTCGTTAGAATGTCTAGGAAAAATTGTGAGATTGCGTTTTTTTTTAAAGTAGCAACCGGTTATTAAAATGTGAACTCTTGTAATTGTTTTGTGTATAACAGGAGATCCATGCGATATGTGAAGATGTTTTAAATTCAATTCAACTTCATGGCCAATGTTTCTACAGAATATCTGTGTATGCACTGCTCGATGTTATTGATCTATGAAATGGACTGTATGTAGATTATTTTAGATCAGATAAAAGTTGTTGTTTTTTTGCCTTCTTTTTCAGCTGTCTACACCATCTGTGATTTTTACCATAATTTTACAAGAACTATGTATATATTTTGCACACTTTTATATCAGGAGAGTAAAAAATAGAACTTGCGTTGACATTATACGTTGTCTTGGGTTTTTTTGTTATTGTGTGTTACTTGAGTTTTTTCTTTCACCTCATACTTTAAATTTTTTACATTTCAGAAGAAACAACTTTCTCTCCTTAGGACATTTTCAATCATCACTGTGCCTTGTATGAGACGACTTCAAGGATCTAAACTCCTAACGAATCTAAATGTCGGGAATGAGATCTGATCCGGCCTAGATCAGTCTCTCCTATGGGACATTTCATTTTAATTTTTTCATTTATTTGTTTTTTTTTAAATAAAAAAAGCTTAACTTGCCTAAACTTTGACTCTCGTACACTAACCTTGTTGTGAATCATATCCACTGTCTAATGCAGGGGTTCCCAAACTTTTCAGGGCAAGACCCCCCAAATGGCATTAACATTTGACCGAGGCCCCCCCTTTTGCAAGATGTCTTTAAAACACATTAAAAATACAGACTTCTGAATATATTCCCCTTTTTTTTTAAATTAATAATTACATCTTTACATTACATTACGAATTGATTGTGTGTGTGTGTGTGTGTGTGTGTGTGTGTGTGTGTGTGTGTGTGTGTGTGGTAGTCTGAGATTGAGAATCATGTGTTTATTTATTTTCCACACCAAATTGTTGAGAACCCCCGGGTGCCCCCTGGCGGCCCCCACTTTGAAAAGCACTGGTCTAATGGACAAAATGTCCTCGCCATGTTTCCTGTTAAAGTCCATCGCAACCTTGTGACAGTTTCCACATCCAACCATGAGAATGATTCTAATACATTCTTCTTTTGTTAAAGCGTAACTGAGAATATGAATATATATATATATATATATATATATATATATAAAAGAGAGAGAGAGAGAGAGAGAGAGAGAGAGAGAGAGAGAGAGAGAGATAAGTATGAACATTTTTTGGAGACGTTTTGCTAAAAAGTATTAATTTCCCCAGTGTATGGAGATAATTGGGACGCACTGTGTAAAACAGAGTATTACCTGGAAACACCACATTTTCAGTAGATCAGACTGAGAGAAATTTGAAATGAAATGAAGTGCTTGAAATTTTTTCAATCCAAGAAAAGCACACGTTTAACCCTTAATTTCAGGCAACAATCTCATATTTACAACGTTACATAGCAGAAAGGGGGGCGCATGGTGACTTAGTGGTTAGCATGTTCGCCTCATACCTCAAGGATCCGGGATTCGATTCCCGCTGGGGCCGTGTGTGTGTGCGGAGTTTGCATGTTCTCCCCATGCTGCGGGGGTTTCCTCCGGGTACTCCGGTTTCCTCCCCCAGTCCAAACACATGCATGGTAGGTTGATTGGCGTGTCTAAAGTGTCCGTAGTGTATGAATGTGTGTGTGAGTGTGTATGTGATTGTGCCCTGCGATGGATTGGCACCCTGTCCAGGGTGTACCCCGCCTTGTGCCCGATGCTTCCTGGGATAGGCTCCAGGTTCCCCGTGACCCTGAAGAAGGAATAAGCAGTAGAAGATGGATGGATAAGTAACAGGATCAAGTTTTAGCATAGAATTAGCAAATATACACAATGCTGTTAGCTAGCACCTGTTCTGATAACATTCCTTTACTATTAGGTAACAGGGTTGTACTTTCAAACTGACCTCATCATTTTAAATGGTAAATGTGCACTTATATAGCGCTTTTATCCTAAGTGCTTTACACTGTGTCTCATTCACCCATTCACACACCAATGGTATCAGAGCTGCCATGCAAGGCGCTAGCTTGCCATCGGGAGCAACTTGGGGTTCAGTGTCTTGCCCAAGGATACTTCGGCATGTGGAGTCACCCGGGCTGGGAACCGAACCGCCAACCCTACGATTAGTGGACAACCCACTCTACCAACTGAGACACAGCCGCGCCTGTAAATAAAATAAAATCAAATAAAATAACAGGGGGGTGGGGTCATGAGAGAACATACGTTTCTTCTTCCCATGATCTTCAGGAAATTCATGTGATGCAATTTTACAAACGAAATTAATTAATTTATTTATTTATTTATTTTTACGGGGTGAATATGTTCCGGAAACAGAGTTGCGTGAATGTTATGAAAAACTTCATAACCTGTAACAGATGACTCGTAGAAAAGGAAGTTGTGAAAGTGAAATGAAAATAAATAAATAAATAAATACTTTGTTAACATTCAGATCCAAAATATTTAACTTTGATGACCAGAGTGATAAAGTAGTATAGCAATGTTGTGACAGTATTTATGGGGTTCTTGCATGACGCAGCTGATTTCTGAGATTAAATAAATCTATCATTTGAAAAGGCGACAGAGTTCACTACACAGGCTGTATATGTATTTAATTTGGTGATTTTGTCTAGGACGTCGTGTAAGGATATAAGGATATAAGCAGATATCACGTGCCTCATCATTTACTTTAAAACAGCAGCCGTTGATTATTTTCAACCGCACACTCTCTCACTCGTGTTTTGATTGCGTGGTGTGTTGTGTTGTGATGTTTCGAGGATGCCATAGTCATGATGAAGGAATTCGAGATGTGAGTGCTGACTGGTCCGACGGGTTTGTGGACGCCAGTTTCACCTTACTACCCACAACTAGTTTCAAGGAGAGTGCGTGGCTTCCACCATACAGTACTCCTGAAATCTAATCTCGCTGTTTTAGAAAGAGTTTTCGGTTTGCGCTCTCAATATTGTTACGCACTAAATTGTATCAGTCTTTGTAGCTGAAATACCTTACATATGTATCTTTCACCTGGATATAGTGTCTGTATATGTGTAAATCATTGGACTTACTTACTTACTTTAACGATTAGAGGTTTAAAGCTACATGATACACACTAAAGGTGTTTTTTCAAGTTTTTTTTCCATATATTCTAAATGTGTTCCATTGACTTTAAAGGGGAAAGCATGTATGCATTGTGAGTGGGTGTGTGTGGGTGTGTGTGTGGGTGTGGGTGTGAGGCAAATGGTAATGAAAGTACTACTGTAATTAGTACATCACCATAAGCAATATCAGACTAAATCTGTCACCTGGAACACGAATACCTGAAAAAACACCGTACAGGCCTTAAAAGTATCCGGTGTCATGTATCATTGCACATAAATGACCCAAATAACTTTAGAAATAAAAATGAAAAGCACTGTCACGACATATTTACGTGATAGGAAACAATGTAGAAAGGTAAAAATGACGCCAAGGGAGTAATGCTTTGTGTTCTCTGCCATTTTGACCATGAAGTCTGGTGCCTGGAAACTGGAACATTCCGCCTTAGGTGAGCATTTCATTGTATAATTACTAATTAAATAATAATAAAAAAAACTATTCTGTTTTGTCCTGGCACTGTTCCAAGTCCATTCATCCATTCAGTCATCTTTAGTAAGCACTTTGTCGTGGTCAGGCTTGAGGTAAAACCAGATCCGATTTCGGGAATACTGGGTGTGAAGTGGGAATACGGTCTGGAAGCAGGACGCAAAAACATTCACACCTAGGGGCAATTTCGCATCGCAGTCAACCTACCGTCTTATTTTTGGACAGCCGGAGGAAACCGGATAACCCAGAGGAAACCCACACAGACCCTGAGAGAACATGTGACACTCAGCACAGACAGTAACTCGAGCTCGAGCTCAGGTTCGAACCCTGGATCAAAGCGCTGGATGTTATGAAGCATCCAAAGAAAGCTTTATTTCAATTCGGTTTTTAATGAGTGATTATTCACACTAGACTGCATCAGCTACACTTTCAGAAAAGTTTAAACGAATCCGGTAGCTGTCACTTCAGTGTTCACAGAGTATAGGCTTGAAAATGGTTCCAGAACGTGAGAAAATAACTTCAAATGTGTGAAATAGTGGCATCATCTATGTGGGGTTTGTGTGTGTGTGTGTGTGTGTGTGTGTGTAAGTTTATAAAATTAGGTTAAATATATACACGTATAAAAATGTTAAAACTAGATGAAATGCGCATGCGCAATAGTAGGCTACATTTGCCTCCTCAGGGCTTTGCAGAGAGATGTGGCCGGTCCTAAGGGGCGTGGCCAGAGCTGTGTACCTGTTGCGCACTGCTCGCGGCACGAGACAGAGAGAGAGAGAGAGAGAGAGAGAGAGAGAGAGAGAGAGAGAGAGTATATTTGGTGTTTACGCACACTGGTGTCTGTAACGCAGGTGACCAGGTGTGTAATCTCTTGCTCAGTCTGGTTTGGATTTCGGATTAATCTAAGGTAATTACACTTTTTTCCCCCCTACTAAATTGTAAATAAGGCGTAATGTAAACAAAACAAACAAACTTTTATGTTTATGGCGCGCGCGTAAGAAATAGCCTAGGTACGTCTCGAGCGTCTTTCATTTCTACAATGCCCAAGTAAACTCACGCTTTCACCGATCGCTCTTTATCTCCTTAGTCTATTTATTTATAGTCTATTTATAGGGACCTGTCCGCATGAATGAGTTATTTCTTTCAGCCTGACAGCCTGGTGTTATTCCCATAAACACCTTTACAGCAGCATCCGCATTCTCTACAGCATGTCGCAAGACTGAAATCATCACCATCATTATCATCTATGTAAAACTCTGCGGTTCTACATGTAAATGTCAAAAAAGAAAAAGAAAAAGTCTGTCCGGGACAATGTCCTTGTTAAATATATCACTTTCGGTCTTATTTGTAGCCTTCATGTGATAAAAAATGATGAATGTAGGTTCTGGACTTCGTGTTAGAGGTGAACTGGTGTATTGTTTAAAAAAAAAGTTATTTGTTTGGTTTATAACAGGGTTACAAGCATCTACCAGAAGACCCCATCATGCCGTCGAATAGACACAGCAACAGCAGTAAGCGGACGTAAGTCGTGTACATATATGTGAATAGATTTGTGATTCGGGAATCATGTAGGTAGATTTAGCTGTTGATTCAGCTAAGTGATTCATTTTCTAATTCTTTAGTCCTCACCGAATGTCACACTACACGTCCTCGCACTACCCCGACGAGCAAGTGCTCCACTTCTACCGCTGGAAGTCGCCGCCCGGTGTGATGAAGATCCTGAGCATCATTGTCATCATCATGTGCGTGGCAGTGTTCGTGTGCGTGGCGTCCACGCTGGCGTGGGACTACAACATGGATGGCATGGGACTCGGAGGCCTTGGCATGGGCGGCATGGGCAGTATGGGCGGTATGGGTGGTATGGGTGGTGGGGGGTACTACGGGTCAAACATGTACGGAGGTGGCGTCGGTAGCGGATCATATGGCTACGGGGGGGGCTACGGTGGGGGCTACATGGACCCTACGACAGGCAAGGGCTTCATGATCGCCATCGCCGCCATCGCTTTCATCACTGTGCTCGTCATCTTCATCCTTGTGGTTTCAAGGCAGAAGTCAGCCAAGTCCGCCAGGTTCTACCTGGTGAGTATCATCATCTGTGCGATCCTGGCTTTGCTCATGTTCATCGCTAGCGTGGTGTACCTGGTGGCCGTCAACCCCATGGCACAGAGCAGCGGATCCATGATGTACAGCATGATCTGGCAGTTGTGTTCCCAGTTTCAGAACCAGAACCAAGCACAGGCATCAGCCCTTTTAATCAACCAGTACATGTACCACTATTGTGTGGTGGACCCTCAAGAGGTGAGTAGTTGACATTCGAGGGGGTGGGGGTTAATGATTAAAGGCAAATTCTTTAATTTGATTTTTCCTTCGTGCTTCTTCCAGGCCATTGCTATTGTTTTGGGATTCCTGGTGTGCATAGCACTCATCATCATGATGGTGTTTGCTATTAAAAGCCGTTCCCAGATTAACCGGTATGGGATGCACCGTGTGCTCTGGGAGGAACCCCCTTCTACCAAAGACGGCTTTCCTCATGGTGTCGAAAAATGGGTGAGTAGAACGCAGTGGGTTTGCTGCACATTTGATCCTTCGCACTTAATATCTGTACCAATTCAGATTAAGGAAAAGGCATTGTGGCTAAATTCCTGGGTGTGTCCAAGGTACCCAGAGGCCCTTGAATTGCTTACTATATCTTAACTTACAATCTGTGAAAGCAGCTAATGTATGAAGTAAATGAATTTAAAATGACGTAGCCCTGTTAAACAGTAAAACTACTTGCACCAAGAGAAGGTGGTCCTCTGGCTTCCTTCTTCTTTTAAAATTCTGCCGATATTTATGTTAGACAGAGGCAGTACTTGGCCTGAGAGAATTTTCATGCCAGTGAAAGCTGTGGTAGTTTCGTCCACTTTTTTGTGTCCTGGTATCTGCAGATAG